GCAGCGATGAGCTAAAGTTTGTGACTTTTTTAAAATACGGCTGCTAGTTTAAGTAGCAAACAATAGGTGTGTACTCGTATTGAGAGGACAAAATTCTCCAGCAGCAAAAGTTCTGAGAATTTAGCAGCATTCGCTCTCAAAGAGACGAAATATCAACAAAAGTACGAGAACGCAAAATTTGCAAAGACTTGCAACCTTCGAAACAGCTGATCACTTGCACAGTTGCCACTGGTGATTAATTTGGCAATTTATTTTCTGATTGGTGCATTTTCCTCCGATTTGGCATTTTATACATTTGAATAGTTTTGGATAAGAAAACCCTTTTTAATATACGATTTAATTATATCGGAATGAATAAGTTATTTTTCTCATAATTATTTGTGATATCACATGGTGACGCATTCAAAAACAAACACCCATCAATGATCCAAAAAAATGCAATAGAGTAGGTTTAAAATTATAAAATTTTCATTTCAACAATCAACCTACCAAAACCGAAAACTTCAGCAAAACAACATTTCAGCATGCTGCATTTAAATCTATTTTGGTATATTTAAACGTAAATTGTGGTACAAACGAAAAATGTCATACGGCAACCGTAGTCGGCACACACTAAAGTAAACAAACTGGAGATTGATAGCAAATTAACGAAAAATAAACTCAATGAACGTTGTGCTTATTAAATTTACGCACTTTTTAGTTGTATACTAGNGTTCTGGGTGCTAGAAAAATACACAAAAATTTAAAAATTTGTATTGTAGCGGCATATTTTTTGCAGCGGCAAGCTTTGAGTCGCAGTAGAAATCACAGCAGCGATGAGCTAAAGTTTGTGACTTTTTTAAAATACGGCTGCTAGTTTAAGTAGCAAACAATAGGTGTGTACTCGTATTGAGAGGACAAAATTCTCCAGCAGCAAAAGTTCTGAGAATTTAGCAGCATTCGCTCTCAAAGAGACGAAATATCAACAAAAGTACGAGAACGCAAAATTTGCAAAAACTTGCAACCTTCGAAACAGCTGATCACTTGCACAGTTGCCACTGGTGATTAATTTGGCAATTTATTTTCTGATTGGTGCATTTTCCTCCGATTTGGCATTTTATACATTTGAATAGTTTTGGATAAGAAAACCCTTTTTAATATACGATTTAATTATATCGGAATGAATAAGTTATTTTTCTCATAATTATTTGTGATATCACATGGTGACGCATTCAAAAACAAACACCCATCAATGATCCAAAAAAATGCAATAGAGTAGGTTTAAAATTATAAAATTTTCATTTCAACAATCAACCTACCAAAACCGAAAACTTCAGCAAAACAACATTTCAGCATGCTGCATTTAAATCTATTTTGGTATATTTAAACGTAAATTGTGGTACAAACGAAAAATGTCATACGGCAACCGTAGTCGGCACACACTAAAGTAAACAAACTGGAGATTGATAGCAAATTAACGAAAAATAAACTCAATGAACGTTGTGCTTATTAAATTTACGCACTTTTTAGTTGTATACTAGCATTAATAATAAAAATTGCAATAATAACTCAAAAAGGCCATATTTTCTTTTGTTTATTTACAAACATGTGTTTGTGATCAGCTGATTTTCTTACTTGCAAGTTTTAGCTGGGAAAAATTTTTCCAGCAGAAATTTGTAGCTCTATTTCACATTTTGCTCTCTCAATTTCCCCTACTTTGCAAGTTTTTTGGGTACGAGAACGCAAAACTAAAACTTTAGATAGTTGGGCGTACGAGTACACACCTAATATCGCTTTGAAATGGGGGTGCTATTGATATGACCGATACTGTATATCGTTACCTTAATATGGAAAGCCCCTATCTCACATCGTTGCTGAAATCCAAAATTCATTTTTTTGATTGATTATGATGCATTTCATTGAACCACTATATAGGTCCCCACATCGTTTTATGAAATAAAACATTTTAGTTGGTTACGGCTTTTTTGCATTTCAGCGACGGTATGTATATGTATACAAATCTTAGAAGTTCCCATGACATACATCGATGCGACTATTAATGAATAAAAGTCGCCAACATTTTTTTTTAAGGTTTCCCACTGAGTTTTTTTTTTTTATTAATGCAAGTAAAAGGCCTATTATATAGTGGTCCATATAGTGGTTTCTTTTTACCGAAATCGAGGTGGCCAAAACAAATTGCCAAGATGGCTGATAATACGATGACAACGCGAAAGAAATAGATTGTGGCATAGGCTGTGTGGTATGGCGCACCATTCTGATGAAACCAAAAATCGTTCAAGTCCATGTCTTCAATTTCCAACCATAAAAAAAAATCGTTAATCATGTTTCGGTTTTCCTTACTTAACTATGTAGATATGTATGTATGCGTATTTATGGATGTGGAATAATATAATAGTTATAATTTTTTAAACCAATTACCTTTAGTATTTTGGATCCACTTTTACGCGTTGTAACAAATGTATTCATTATTAATGCCAATTTAAATTGTTCACATATATGTACATTAGGGTGCTTTTTTCGCGACTATTTTTTTTCACTCCCACCTCGAAATTTTGTGCTCGGCCAAGGCGTACGAATATTTCCCGGGTAAAATACACGTAAACTTTAAATTGTTTTCTTCAAAACTCTAAAGCTCAGAAGCTTTTTATGGTATATGCTTGGTCAATGATAGGCTTTTTTTCGAATTGAGTGCAGTGTGGCGTATCACTAACTCCCACAAGCGAAAATTCTGGTTTTTGTCCCTTTCTCGTATTTAGCAAGAGCTACAGAAAAAAATGTAAATGACGAAATTCAACTTCACCAAATCGCTAACATCGATATTTCTTGAGATATTGGGCTATGAAATTGATAAAAAATTTCTACAATTTAGCTCAATAATGCATGAAAATTCCACACTACCTCAACTGGAGCGAGCCATTTATATTAAAGTTTTGCAGTTTTAGAAACAAACGCTTGACCTTTATAAATGGACTTGCAGAACCGGCGGACTCGTCCCGCCCAAAATTGATTATTTATTGAAACATTTGGTCGAACGTTTACAACAAAAATTTACGTTCACGTTTGGGTTTGTGGTCGTCAGTAAGCGTATCCTTCATTGCCGTCTTAAATAACCTAACGAAAGCGTTATGTCCGTGAAGAATCGACCATGCTTAACGTTTATGATTATTTAATTTATTCATAACAACAAGGGTTTCATATTTCAGTTGTTTGAATATTTTGAATATAGAACTCACGCATTGTCAGGCACAAGTGCCAAACCGTCAAACAAACTAACTTTAAGCTTCAATTTATTTATAATATTATTTATGCTTATGCAGCAATTATTTCCCATTATGCTTATTATTATTTATGCTTATGCAGCAATTATTTCCCATAAATACCCCAATATGTTAGGCTAAGAATTCAATTGTAAAAGAACCTACAAAGCGACATTGACTTGCTCAGTAAAATAAATTCAATACCATTAAAACATAAATGAATTGTTTCATTCGATACACAATGATCTGTTTCGATGGTGAATCTTCCTTAAATCTGTATAGTACAGTTGGTGCCAATTTCCAAATGGGGTCCCTGGCCCACCTACCGGAAAAAGAGTAATTTTTTTGGCCTATGACATGGTGGTTGCTGAAAGCTATTTATATATGTAAAAAATTTCATGAAAATCGGATCAGCCGATCGCGAGATTACCTGTTCAAAAAAATAATTGAATAAATAACACACAGGCCAATTTGCACCCTCACAATTTCGGGGAATGATAAAACTGTATGTAGTATTGAGTGGTGGGTGCCGGTACAGTTCTCTTCAATAAAATTGGTAAGTATCATACGTGACGATATTACTGAACTTCCCTAGTGTACAAATATATATATGTATACATACGTAGGTAGGTGAATATTTAATTTCATTCTGCACTTATTTAAGAAATATTCATAGTATAATTACATTCACTTGCGAGCGGTTTAGGTTGAAGAGTTCGTTTCCACACTAAAATGCCAACTACTGAAGAAGCCAAAGGTAACACAATTTCTTTATTAACAAATAGCCATTTCATTGTACATACTCTTCATTTTAATAGATGGAGGGGTATTCACTAGTCGGGGCTCTGACATTATTGTTGGCATTCTGCTTTATGCGTTTGTATTTTGCTTTTTAATACCAACCATTGTAAATGAAACAGTAAGAAGCCGTCTTTATTGCGATATATGAGTGTTTTATTTTATTTTTTTTTAATAATATAAATATGTTTTTGTTTTATAGCTATAAAAGCGGGATGTATTATTAAAAAAAAAATAGTGATTACGTATAGCAACAAAACTATATGTACAATTATATGTATAATGCCAAAAAGTGTAAATTCTGAAAAATGAAACAAAAGGGGGACGTTTTTAGAAACAACAATAGATTTAAGTCATTTACACGCTTCTGGTAAACATAAATGGAATGGAGAGGTTTAGTTAAATATGTATAATTTTGTCTTTAAAACAAAACTGTATGGTTTTTGGTAGATAAGCTATGGAAAACAACATTTAATTAGTTGGTACATATTTACCAATCCAATCCAATTCAAAGTCCTATGCATCCTTATTTTCAGGGCGTGTTCAAATCAATAGAAAGACTGTAGGCAAACTGAAAGTAAGTTGGTTCATCCAGTAACGCATGTTTGTACCCGCCTTACTTTTCCTTCCTTTCCTCTCCAATTCCAATAACGGTGAAATCCGTATGAAACGCAGAAAGGGACATACTCGATTACATTGTTAAAAGGGACTTCGGTTATATACTAAAAATTCCTAGTTTAAGTTTGATCCATCGATAAATTGGAAATCTTCCTATTCATCCAGTAGCGTATGTACCGGTCTTACTTTTCTTTCCTTTCCTTTCTAAATCCAATAATGGCGAAATCCACGTAGAACGCAGAAAGTGAGATATTCGAGTATTTTGTTAAAAGGGACTTCGGGGTATATTTAAGAATTTCCTAGTTTGAGGTATTGCTATTTTTTTCCAAATCTTTTAATGAGACGAAGTAAAAACATTTGCATCAATTCCAAGGTAATCTTAATCCAGTGGTAAATCGGAAATTTTCCTAATCATAAGAAAGCTTGCACTAATGAATTCCAATCGTAACATTGTAACGCAGACACAATTATCTCGAAATCCAAAGCGCAGTAAAAGACCTTTATCAAGTTGGAAACTAACGATGGATTTTTAAGGTTGAGTAACGAAATCCTCCCACGCAGTCCCACATCCTGTCCTAAAGAACTTGGGCTATCGAAATTATGTTCATCCTCACATTTTTATGCGAAAAAAGTTCGAAGCGAGAGAAGGGGAATATAAAGTCGTAACGACGGAAGCTGCCACATAAGGGGTTATCTCATTTTCCAGAGATAACAAAAGAGAAATTTTGCAGCGGTGTTTTGATAATCCTGATAAGTTGAAAGAAGAAAGGAAAGAAAATCCCACGATTGTTCGATATGCGTAGGAAAAAGGTTGTACGAAAATGTGTGTCCTGTTGCATAATCATCACTTCCTTGATTTTTTCAACACTCCAAAGTATCAGTACCCTCGTAAAAAATACGTCCTTATATAACATCCAAATCCTTAAAATCCACTTATCCAAATACTCTCAATAATCCATCATTCCATTCCATCCATTTCATATAACGTGAATAGAGCGGAAAAAAGAAATATATATTATTATTATATTATGCAAGTATATGTATAATTCAAATGCCATATTTTATTTGTTTAGATAATTATAACCAAAGCATTGAAGTTTAGTTATTATTAGTATCTTTGTGTATGAAGCTAACTTATATAAACTTTTTATTTTTATAGTGGTGAGTACATAATTTTTTTTTTCTGTTTTCTAAGAGCAGCGGTGGAACTAATTATAATTTATTGAAAATTAGTAATGAGCTCTGCTCGCTCAAGAATTTGCTTTTTATGAAAATCGAGCTGAAAGGACCGCGTTGAAAACTATGTATGTACTATGTCTACGTATGAATTACATATATGACTATAATATGGTGATAGGGTTACCGATCATACTCTTCATTACAGTATGTTATAAATAGTGTTGTTTGTATAATTTCAAAGGATTTGCAATGCTTTTAAATTAAAAATTTGAGCGTGAACGAGATCTTGACCTGGAATATGAGCGTCGTAGAGGTGAATAAGTTGGAGTACCACGGCGTCGTGGACGTGGCGAGTAAGAGCGAGACCTAAAAGGATAACCGCAAAGTAAAATCAGCACAATTATGGGTTATTAAAAACTTCGCATACCTATCACGCAAATCACGACCGCCGCGAGCTCCGTCTCCAGTATCTTCACGAACACGTATGTAGGAGACTTCTCCCTAAATAAAGTTGCATATAAGTCTTATAAAATCTTAAAAATATATACACATTTCCGCATATTAAAACTTACCTCATGCGATCTAAAACGAGAGTCGTCCAATTTTTTTATGGCATATCTCATGTCTTCGTGTCGCAAAAATTCAACCACACCAGTGCCATCCTTATATGAATCTGCAAAGCAAACATCTCCTGCCTCACGCATGTGGTCTTTCAAATCTTGCCATGAACCAGACGATGGTAGACCGGTAATCAAAACACGGTATTGTGAACGTTTGGTTGGAGGACCGCGGCCACCACCGCCACCTCCACCCCGGCCACCGTCGTTGCGACTACGGTCGTTGCGATTGCCGCGAAAACTACCTGGTCCACCGCCGCGTGGAAATTCTACACGCAATCTGTAACCATCATAGTCGTATCCATCGCGAGCCTTTACTGCATCCTCTGCATCTCTGGCGTCCTCGAATTCAACAAAAGCAAATGGAGGACCACGCCTATTTTTCAAGTCGACAAATGACACTTTACCGAACTTGTGAAATAGATCTTGGATATCCTTTGTACGAATATCTGGTGGCAAATTGCCAACATAAATTCGACTTTCACTGCGGGACATATTTATTAAAATTTAATGCGCAAAAACGTAGTGGAAAGCAATTTTCAAAGTATAAAAAATTTATATTTTTTTGGGGAATATAACACGCAAAAAATAGTCACACTTTTATCTCAACTTTGCAATAATGGCGGATTTTGCGTTGTGATTTAGCTGGGAACAATGTGGGAACAAATTTTTTGAAACCCTACAGGGCAACCCAACCCAATCACTTTCAAAAATGTTCTAATGGATGACTTTCGCACTAACTTGGAGGCTACAGCATGAACCATTTAGAACATCTGACCGGTTGATGAGCAGCCATTGCAATAGCATTGGAGAAAAAAGTGTGTATCTTTCGTAATTTTGAAGGTTGCTATTTCTGTTTTAGGAATCCCTGCACGCAGAAATATATATGTATATTTTTTTTCAGAATTTCAATTTAGCCATAATTAATCGATTTAACCCTCTAGTAGGCTGAACCGCCTCCAGACGGTCGTTAACTAAACACCTTTTTAGTGCACATAAAATAATTGTTTTCTATATGTGACCTGGTCTACGAAAAGGGAGCTTACGTGCGAAAACTAGTTTTCTGTGAAAAAGCTGTTAAAAGTAAGCAACTCGTTTCGTTACATTTGTTCGTTGTTTACAATTTGGTGGTGGCTTTTTACTGCAATTTTCTTAATTTTCGCTTGTGACAATGTGTGCACACATAAGGTAAAGAATAATTTAACACAACGACATGATTTATAGAAGAATTTGCATAATAAAAATGATTACTCATGCGTTCAACAATTACGCGTTTTTTTGTTCTCTTTGTTGTTTACTTCTTACAACAAAAATGGCGTCGAGATTTCGAGAGCTAGGAAATAACTTGTTTCTTTCTTTCCTTAAGAGCGAAATACACCACACAAGCGGTTTGACAAACCAAGCGAAATTTCCCTTTGCTTCAAGCCATTTGTGCTGTGTATGGGGGTGTTTGAAGGTTTGACGGCGGTTTGTCAAACCTTCAAACACCCCCATACACAGCACAAATGGCTTGAAGCAAAGGGAAATTTCGCTTGGTTTGTCAAACCGCTTGTGTGGTGTATTTCGCTCTTAACTTGCTGTCTCCACAGGCAAAAGTTTTTATCTTGATAATGTTATCAGGCAAAATTTTGCCCATGGAGACCGCATATTACTCTTGGCAAGCAATAACTATCAGAGCTTTTATCTTGATAAATATTGCCAGCAATTTGGTACTCTGACAGCTACATTTTCATTTGCGCGAAAGCTTCGTGGAGACAACATTATCGATATTTCAATATAAAAGCAAACTGTTTTCTATTAAAATATTTGTTATTATTTGCTTGGGTATGAAATAGCATATCGTCACTAGCACGAATAAAGGCGCTATAATAGATTTTAGCTAAATATAAACTACTTAGTTTTCAACAAAAACCTTATTCAATAGTAAATTTCAAATATTTTAAACATATTTTGAATAGGAACTTATATCTTTTTTACCATCTGTAAAACTGACGAAGTGGCAACCATCTAAAGAAGGAGAAATCAGCTGACACGGAAAAATCTAAATTCCGCAGATTTCTGCGCTACGTGCTACAACTACAGAAAAATTCTGCGGTGTTGAGTTTTCATTTACATGGCGCTTTGGTAAGACAGATCGTGTTTACGTACCGGTAGGTTTACGTTCTTGACTAATTTCACCTTAAAGCTGAAATTAGTCGAGAACGCAGAACGTATACTTAAACGCGGTCTGTATACGCAGAATTTTGTCGATTACTAGAGCCCTCAGTGTTGTTTACTACACTGTTGCCACTCATCAATGCCTTTTCATAAACTTACCCTTTCAACTACAATTTTTCGTGCTATAATCATATATGTAATACTTCTATATTGGCAGTTAGCTAACTTCTCAATGTGTAAGCATTCCGAAATCAAAGCGAGACAGTCTAGTATCGTTTTTGTCAATGTATTGTGTACTTGAGTGCCGTTTTTGTATATGCGTTGTGTACATGTTTATTTATAAACGTATGTGTTCCTTTTCTTTCGTACGTGTTTATTGATATATTTGTACTGTAGTGTTTTCGGACGGTACTAGCTCTTACTGCCAATATAGGAGTTTTACATATATGGCTATAATAGATTTTAGCTAAATATAAACTACTTAGTTTTCAACAAAAACCTTATTCAATAGTAAATTTCAAATATTTTAAACATATTTTGAATAGGAACTTATATGTATCTTTTTTACCATCTGTAAAACTGACGAAGTGGCAACCATCTAAAGAAAGAGAAATCAGCTGACACGGAAAAATCTAAATTCCGCAGATTTCTGCGCTACGTGCTACAACTACAGAAAAATTCTGCGGTGTTGAGTTTCATTTACATGGCGCTTTGGTAAGACAGATCGTGTCAGCTGACTCGGGTTTACGTACCGGTAGGTTTACGTTCTTGACTAATTTCAGCTTAAGTATGAACATACAATTGTGTCATCGAAACGACTGACATGTCACCCTGTTATGTTCTTCAAATTACACTAGTTTCCTAGCAAGCTTCACTGGCAAAAGTCCGCCATTCTTTCAAAGCGCACACGAGTAAATTATCGCGTGTTTAGTGGAAAAAATCAATTAATTGTCTTATCAAATTTAAAACTACATCGAAAGTACCGGAATATAATTTAAGAATGTCTCGCAATGAAACTCGCATCTATGTTGGAAATTTACCCCCTGATATTCGTACAAAGGATATACAAGATTTATTTCATAAATTTGGTAAAGTTTCCTTTGTGGACTTGAAAAATAGGCGTGGTCCGCCATTTGCTTTTGTAGAATTCGAAGATGCCAGAGATGCAGAGGATGCCGTAAAGGCACGCGATGGCTATGACTATGATGGTTATCGATTGCGTGTAGAATTTCCACGCGGCGGTGGACCGGGTAGTTTTCGCGGTAATCGGAACGACCGTAATCGCAACGATGGGGGCCGGGGTGGAGGAGGCGGCGGTGGACGTGGTCCACCTACCAAGCGTTCACAATACCGTGTTTTGGTTACAGGTTTGCCGTCGTCAGGCTCTTGGCAAGATTTGAAAGATCACATGCGAGAAGCAGGAGATGTGTGTTTTGCTGACGCCTACAAAGACGGTACTGGCGTGGTTGAGTTTTTGAGGAATGAAGACATGAAATATGCTATCAAGAAATTGGACGACTCACGATTCAGATCTCATGAGGTAAATTCAATTGTACATTATGTATGTAGGTGTGTATATTCTTTCACAAAACACTTCTTAATTAAGTTTTATTATATTTTATTTCATATTTCATTAAAGTTTTTGGCTAATTTTGTTAAATGGTTTTTTTTTTACAAATTTCTCCACAGGGGGAGGTATCGTACATACGCGTTCGTGAAGATTCTGGTGAAGGAGATCGTGGCGGTCGTGACCACCGTGGAGACAGGTATCGTAATTTCATTTTTAAAATGACTATATGATAGTTAAAATATTAATTTATATTTCCTAGATCCCGCTCATTTTCTCCAAGACCACGACGCCGTGGGTCTCCCACGTATTCCCCTGTTCGACGTTCATATTCCAGATCAAGATCACGTTCTCGTTCAAATTTTTAAAGCCTGAAAAGACAAGAACCACTAAACAAAGTAGAGAAGTAAAAAATCAGCAAGTAAATTTTGTACGGACGATAATTCGTTTGAGATAAATCCAGCATATTTACGAAAATGATACAGCACATATATAATTTACTTTGGAATTCAACGTACATATTTTAAGGCAAGCATGACTTGATCGAAAACATTCTACATATTTGAAATATTTGAAACATTAGGTATAACTTTTTAACACTTTTTAATTACGAGTTGTTTAAAAAAAGCATTTAATTTGAAAGTATGATTCCACTATTTGGGAAAGTATTTGCAGCTCCAGTAAAACCTTAATTGCATATACTTTTATTAAAAGCTATAAAATGATTATAAAAAAAACTTATCAGGTGCAAAAGGCTGACATTTTGAATACACTTACACTAACAAAAGTAAATTTATCTTAATCTACATGCATATAAACATAATACATTTAAATAAACAATATTCCTATGTACTAATTAATTAATATGAATTTCTTCTCTCCGCTCTATTCACGATTAATGGAATGGATGGATTGGATTGGAGTATGGGAAAATTGAGGATTAAGGAAATGGATTAATTCGGGATTTAATGGATTTTTGGATTAAAAAATGGATAATTATAAATGGATTTCAGGAATTTTTAAAAAAGGAATAGTTAAAGTTGCATACAATAAAGGACGGATATAATGGATAGGACAAGATTTACAAGATATAAACAAAAAAATACTAGGAGGACAGGGATTTTAGTTTTAAACATGAAATTTGCCACCGTCCACACCGAGCAGCAAAACGGAATTAAACTTGATTGACATCGATTATCTTTCTATTTGTTTAATATATTAAAGTAGACTGGGTGTGAAAGAAGCATTTGGATTAGGAAAACAGTGGAGCAACGAGGGAGGATTTTTAGATTAATTCGGCTATTGGTGGAAAGTTCTGTTGCCCTTAAATATGAAGTCTGTCAACTCGAACGTCAATGTTTTTTGGAGGAAATTTCTATTTTCTAAATCATTACATCGCAGATAGGAATTTCGGATTAGCATCTTACCGTATTGTAAGTTTTACTACCAAATGTCGACCCGCCGCAATAGATTTTGGATGGCTTAACTGCGTTCAATACATATGTACATGCATACGGTAAACGTCTTTTAAAATTTTCGGATGTTATATGTATATTTTTACATCGACCCTCAGGACTGAAACGGATTGTTTTGTGGAAACTCATAATTCACAACGATTTTTGAGAATATAACATCTTGCTTTTGTCTGCATTAGGATTTGGACTGATTCGGTAAATATGGCCATTTAAATAAAGAATCCTTATTTTTTCTCCTTAAAAAAATCGTTTTATAATTGAATTTAACTAAAAGCTTTCTACACATCCCGAAAAATTCTTACATTAAAGGGGTGATTGTTTATTGGAAGAACATCTAATAAAGAATTTACTTCCATCTAAAAGTTCTTTCATTTTTATTTTAATTTTATGTCAGAAGCTTATATACACATTATTCTCTTCTATTATGGTCGCCAACATTAACAAGAATAATATTGATGTTGACCAATTGGTATCGACATTGCCAGATGGCTCCATATTAAATCTAAATCTACTCATGGGAAATAATCAAACCTGTCATAAAGGAGTATATAGCGACACAATGCGCTGTATGCACAAAAACTAAGCAATTGCTTTTTCTTAAAATTTCATACCTTTCACTTAAATTTATTTGAACAAATCGATTGAAAGGTTTGAAATTTTAAGAAAAAGTATTTGCTTAGTTTTCATGCGTATGACCCAATATAATGGGTATGAAATATCCGTCAAATCCGTCGATAATACGTTACCGTCAATACAACAATTTAGTAAATACTAATTTTGAATTTACATAATGCCGATGTCGACAACCATAATAGGGCTGAATAACATGTGTGGCATATGCCCACCGTGTGTGCTACAGCACAAATGAAGACTACCTGTGGACTTAAGTTATTATTGCTTTCGACCAGAGATTAATTACATCAAATGATTGTTATTGGTATGCAATTCAGGTTAAGATATGTAAGTATTTTCGATAAAATCATGAAGTTGAAACCAAGACTAAAAAGTAAGTAAAATTTACTTCTGTTCATAAACCACTTCCAACCATAGATATGACATGCGAAGCTCGATTTTAAGATTTTAACGCGTTACTAAATTTTAGTTGTAACAGATTTAAATACAATCGCTTTTATTGCACATTAATCATTCGTAAAATCTACGCAAATACTATCACTTAATGCGAATAGCTACGAACGTAGCATCTACTTTGAATGATATGTATGTACGGTCGGATTTAGTTATAGCCCTGATTATGATTCCTAATGCTCTTAACTGCTCTTAAAATGAAGCTTGAACTCCGAAAACGAAAAAATATATATTTTTTTTCAATAAACAGCTATTCATATTTATTGAAATAAGCGATTATTATTTGGCACAGTCAAAAGTTCACAAGAGATGTTTGGATAATTGAGCTGTCGTTATACAACATATGTACACTTTTATTTCGCTGTCACAAATGGCTTTAAAAGCGAGTTTGATAAAATGCCATGCCGCATCTTACGTATATGTACGTTGGTAAGTATCTGCATATTCATATGTAAGAACGTACAAGCAGAAGCGTATGGCTAGCTAAGAGTGAAAAGTTGCTAAGTCCGCTTTTTATAAAAACTTATATTTTGCTATAGGAAGCAAGGCATTAAAATTGCATTGTTACGAAAAGGATTAAGGTACTTGTTATATTTCTTCTCGCTTATATTCCATAAAAGGTAAATTTGTAAAGTCCAAAAGAGGCACCGAAAATCCGATGAAACCAAAATAATAATCCTTATTCGTATGGAGTTTTGCTTTGCTTTAAACACGCAAAATGTTGTATTCAAAGATTTGCGAAATATTTGAAGAAAATGGCTCCTCCTGTTAAATACAAAAAAAAAAAAAAAAATGTACTTAGCAACTTTGCACTCTAAGCTAGCGATATGTATGTATGTATGTTGGTTGTATGGTTGCTTTAAATTCCTTGCCTATTTTTGGTCAAACTGCATGCTTATGGCAAACGCTAGTTTTTTCTTTCATTCTATGCCGCATCGAGAGTAGAAGAGGCCTAAACATTTGCCATATCTGTCAAACAAATAAATGCCTATAGTTGAGCGTGTAACTGACTGACCGTCGAATAAGATTTATAGCAGCTCTGCTACAGCGCATGTTCTTAATAAGCAACAAATATCAATCATTACTGCGCTTATATACTCTTTGATTTGCTCACATTTCCTTAGTGCTTTGGATTAAGGGTGGGTAACTCAGCAAATTTATAGGAGTTGACTCAATGACTCCAACTCACTTTAAGGAGTCAGCTCATTCAACTAACTCATTTGACTCTTTGTATGTTACACTCATTCGTATCGTAGACTCATTTTGAGGCATAGATGCGGTATAGCGGCCGTTGAGATAAAAAAAAACTTTANGGATGTGTAGCTTGCTGGCTTGCATACAAACGTGAGTGTTGGTCAATTTATACAGCGTTAAAATGGTATATTAGCAGCGTCACTGTCGGCATATATGCAATACAACTAATTTTATTAAATCTGTTTGTTTTAACAAATTACTACTCGTATCTTCTTGAAATATTTAGAGCTTTCCTTTTGTTCAACAAAATTCAAATGCAACTAATTTTTTCAAGTTTAATTTTACCATTAACGGAAGTGCTAATTTCAAACTCAGTTGGCAACGCGATAAGTGAGAAATTTCAAATGTAGTATGTTGCTGCGATTACCACTTGCTTTTTGGTGGGGCATGCAACATGTTTGAGATGGAGCCAAAATATTTACATACATATATACAAATGTACGTATAGATGAAGGATTACTGAAATTGTTATTTACATAAGACATAAGCAGGGAACATAACGATTATAAGCTTATTAAAAAATAAATTTTTAAAATTATTCAATGAGTTTTCTTTAACCCTCAGAAATAAACAGGTATTTTCCAGTTTTCTTATTTACTTGTAACGATAATCGTTTTTCTTTTGAGTTTTATATCTTGGCGTAAAAATATGGGCATTTCCAAACTGGCGTTGACAAAATGTTAAAAGGAAAAGTTTGAAAATGTCAAAATTTTAAAAAGGATTTTCTAGATTTACATAGCAATTAAATGGCCCCTCATTCAGTAAAAAAATTACAACTGTTGGCAGTAGCGATTTAAAGATATTACTAAACTTACGCGCTGGCGTGACGTTACCAAAAACAAGTGGATTTTGACTTCGATTACAAAATTGCGAAACGGCGAATTGGGCAATACTATTTGTATAAAAGCTTTTGTACTTGTTGAAGGCCCACAAAATGTTGTAGTAATAGTGGAAATGTTTAAGGTTAATTTTCCAAGTTTCGAAATGTAGAAATCTTTTCTGCTTTATGTTTAATCAGCTGGCGTTACGTTACTAAAATTTCCAATTAAAAAGGTTTGTCAATATTCTTCTTGAAATAATTTTTAACGGGAAGAAAACATGCATTTTATGTCGAACCAACTTCCAGTGATTCCATTTTTTTTTTGCAAATCTTTGTATGTTTTAATATCTTTCAATTAAACATACCAAATGTGCAACAAATCAGAGTATAAATACTGGTTTCCAAAATATGTCGACCCTGGCGCCACCTAACGATACCATTTTTGGCAAAAATGTTTCTGCTTACATAACCAGAATATATTATAAAAAATAGCCAAATCGGCCTATAAATAAGTTAGATAAAGGACTTTTAATTTTTTTTACGCGGTAGACTTTTCGCTGGAATCGCCCATGTGTAAAAATAATTATTTGGAGCTTAATTTTTTGCGCGACAAATAAAAATTATTTTTAGGTTAAAACTTATCAAGTTCTCTCTGGAACAGTGTTGGGTAAAATTTTATTTACTGAATACTAAGTACTAAGTATAAAAAGTGGGTTCGATCTCTGTTCCGGGTAAGATCTAAATTTGTTTTAACAGCGGTCGCCCCTCGGCAGGTAATGCCAAACCTCCGAGGGTATTTCTGCCATGACCATAAAAGCATTTGCAATTCGGATACGGCATAAAATTTTAGGTCCCTCGATTAGTGTTTCATAATCGCGACGCACACCACAAATTGTAGGAGAAGCTCGACCAAACACTTACCAAAAGTAAAAACGCCAAAATATTTTAAATAGTCAAGTACATACTTATGTACTTAAGAATTTGGATGTATGGTAATATTTACACGACTTTTTTTTAAATAAATGAGGTCGAAATTTGCAAGTTAATAAAAATAATAGTTTTTTTTTGTAAATATAATTCACACTGTAAAAAGCACTATATTAATATAAGTTTAAAACTTTGTGCAAAATTTAGAAAAATTCAACAAATTTTCATAAAAATTTTAAACTTGATCATCAAAATTTTTAGGAAAATTTCGGGTGTGCAGCGCAACATCGTATGCGGAAAAAATTGTCAAAAATCAACCCGAATTTTGAGCTACTTCAAACTTGCACTTTATTATACCGAAATTAAATGGGATATTTAACTGCATACCCGAAATTTTCCTGAAAATTTTGGTTGCAAACTTTTTCTAAATTTTGCAAAAAAAAAATTTTTTTTATAAACAATTCCACCTCATTTATTTAAACATGTCGCGGTCAAGTTACTTTTACTTAACGAAATGCCGCTGCACTAAATACTGGATAAAAAAGTTCTTAGTTTTTATGACTTCGCTAAATGCTATAACAAAAGTAATAACGAGAAGTTTCGAGATCCGGAAACGTCGCACTGCCGCGAAAATCCCGAAATACCAAATCCTGGAAATATGCAGACAACAAAACTCGAAAGTCCTGAAAGATAAAGAAAATCCCCGAAATTTTTAAAAATTCCGAAAAGTAAAAAACAAGGAATCCCGAAAAATCTCGAAAAATCCGTAGAAAAACTTTAAAAATAAAGACCCCAAAACTACCGATTATTCCTTTTCTTAGCCGTTTAGTATTTAGAAATGCACTAAAAACCACGAGTATTTAAATACTTCTTAAAAAAGGTGTACAATTTTTATGAAAATTCGATGAATTTTTATAATTTTTGCACAAACTTTGAAAAGTGAATGTGTATGGTGTTTGTTATAGAAATGAACTATATAAATGAAACTAAATAATATAAAAATAAATAGTGAAAACTTGTTAATATATGGCGGTCTTATAATTACGCAACGCAGGTATAGGTATTTAGTATCCATAAAGGTTAATGATTTGTTTGCCCTCTTCTCTTCAGGCCAAAGGTCTTAAAAAGTTTAGAGGGGGTTTAGGCGGTAGAGAGTAAATACACATTAGGACAATGTTCCCTGAAAATGGCATCATATTCGGCTAGAATGTGTAGAGGCCGAGTCACAGAACTGGCAGAAATCGTTTGACCGAATGTCAAATTTGTACTCGTACAAGTGACCATACAGTTTGATTAGAACTTGGAATCTTTTTAAATTGTTTCCCCAAAGAAAGCTTTATGCCTGGCGTAGTCCTGTTGAGCAGCGCCAATTCTGCCCTAACTTCGATCCCATTTTTATTCCTGAGCACCTATTTGATCGTATTTGAACAAATTTTTAGGTAAGGCTCCGGCTCAATTGGGGGTAGTGGCCGCCGACTGGAATCTGGGTAATCTGGAACTCATTGTAGTTGTTATTGTTGTTTGCACACGGAGTTCAGTTTCTCTATACACTCGAAGACTAGCGGTGATGTTAAACCGAAAGATGAAGCGAAATGAAGTATAGTTCTTTTCGCCTCCTGCTCTGTGGTTAAGTGTAGATGATCCAAATACATGCCAAACGTGAATTTTTCCCAGTAGCGGGTAGTTCTTTTTACTAGAAATACTTTCCCAACCGTCCCTAAACACTTGTCTTGTTTTGCTTATATATTGGTTCTTGACCGAACACTCTCATACTCTTTATCATAAGCACACACAACATACATATCTATACCCATGCAAACGTACATACATATCTAAAGTTCGTAAACATTGACAGTACTTGGAGCACTTCGTACTGAACTAGTTTTCAAATATTGGAATGCATTAAAATTTTACATTAATACGGAAGGATGTGGTGGACACACTCAGCCTGCATACCTGCAATCTCAATTAGGTGCAATCAAACCTGTTCGCCGGCATATTGTTCAGTGTATTAGTGACACATTTGTTTGAGAGAGCTTCCATAGAGAGCAGATGGTATCCCTGTAGCAATTCGGACTTACCCTAAGTTAGCCCTCGAATAGTCCCAATTGTTACCAGTACTAGTCCGTCATAATTCCCCTGCCAATGGTTTCAACTATCAATTTTAACATCGGCGTGTGATTGGAAAGGACCCGTCCAACAACTAACCGTAAGATATCCCCTATTGTGGTTAATTGTTCTTTATTATTTGGTTTTGCACTAAATTGACAGCACTACTCTGTGTGTGTACAAATCTGTGAGGGCCTGTTCGACTAGCAATCACAGCCGCAGTGTTATTACGTGCCTAGAAAAGGCCGAGAGCCTCGGTTTTTTTTTGCTATCTGTAAACCGTTTCCTTAGGGACTGGGCGAAAGCTAACATTATCGATGCAAACAAATTTCCAATTCTAACCGGTCAAATTTTAACCGGTGAATTATTGGTGCCTTTCGAAAAATTGGCCGCCTTTTTGCTGTAGGGATACTAAATGGTGGGAATTAATATACATATAGTTTGTTCCATGAAAAGTTATATTCATTATTCTTGAATGATACACGGTTGCTCCCTCATGGGCACGATGTCTGGGATATACACTTTTCTCTAACAAGGCCACTCCTCGATTGGTAGTAGGTAGATAGCGAACATCTCAGTTGCTAGTCATTCGATTTTTTTCGTAATGTAGAATCTCCTACGGCAACACAAATCCTCTTCCCTGAGTAAATAATATCAGAGTACATCGGCCATAAACAAACAACGGGCCTGGCTACTTGAAGACTCCGTGTATGAAAAAACTCGTTAAATGGCCCATGTCTGATCAGAAGTAAACCCAGATTCAGACACAATCTAAAATCTGGGTTTTCACGGACATAATTAACATCCCGAATGTATTCATAAGTCACTCGGCCATGGGAACTATAGTCACAGCGGCCCTGCCACTTCCTCAATACCGTCTCCCACAAAGAGCGTTTGCGTCAAGGCCGTCCCAATCCTCCTCCCTAGCCGGAAGGCCATAGAAGGTTCTACAACAACCAGATCAAGGGCAGACGCTCCCATTAACATCTGTAGTTAGGGGATGGAAACGTTCCGACATACCGGCAGATCAGCCAGCAGTATTAGCCTCTGGCACGACAATTTGGCGGCCCGAAACCGTCAGATTTATACCAAACAGCAGACCCGCCACAAACAAGCCCTGATACATACGTGCACATGTCGGCCTAGTAGACCCAATCACACCCCGAATTTTACTTTCGTCTCGTACCTGGCACTGGTTCTGTTTAAGCAGATGATTGACGTTCAACCCAGCGACGATCTTCCCTTGACATCTTCACTGTTTTGTCTACTGCACATCAACACCCACATTCGTACCCTACATACCCTCACCACGTCAAACAGCTGATTCCCCTTCAGCTATATTGCAGTCCTCGACTGCCCCTCTACCGAGTTGAGAAGGCCATCCGCGTTCGCACTGAAATTGCAGTCAGTATCTAGTTACCTGAGCAGGGAATCCATCATAAGGTTCCAAATAAATGGACCAGAAATGGAACACTGCAGTCAACCACGAGCCACCCCAACTCCAATACTACCTCCCTCCTCAACTATGACGGCTCTTCTGCCAGAGAAATAGCTACGCCATAAAGCGAACTCTGGATACCCAAATCTCTGCAACAGCGCAATGACGTTCCCAACGTTAGTAGTCAAACGCTATAATTTTATATTTCTTGTGCTTGTCGTCGAACTCGATATTTACCGAATGGTCACGGCTGCAGGCATTTGTCCCTTCCCTCACTCCAAGTTGGAACAACACACTTCCAAGAGGCAGCGCGTAGCGGCTAATATGTGGACTTTGATTTTCGACAATTTTCAATTAGTAGGGATATAAAGGTGGTTGTTGTAATCTTCAGGTATTGAAGGACTTGACCTACCTAGGATCTAGCATAAACCCAACCATGCGCTTCGTTACCCTGCAGTGGTCAGTAAGAAAACGCCATTCCTGGTAAAATTGATATTTCTGTACTGGAGTTCTTCGTCCATTCTAGTCCATTCACCTCGATTCCGATTGTCGGAACAAGAGTCGTTCGTCGAAATTTGAGATTTTCATTGACGTTATGAGGCAACCAATGAGATAATCTACTACAAACTTTTATTCTTATTATCCTTTCGAAAAGAAGAAGTATTGAAGATGTGTTAAAATCTGTAGTTAATGTTTTTATTTACGACATAATTCAACAGACGACTGTCGATGCGAGCGCCTTATGAGAACCAGAATAGGGGTAGTTAACTTCCGCATTAGTCCAGAAATGTTGTGCTTTCTTTTTTATCCAGATATAATAGTTTTGCCAACGTGGCTCCTTCGTTATCTATGATTTCACTTCGAATGAGGTAAACACGGTTCTTCGATGCGATTTGTATTAAAATCTGAAAGTAAGCCAACGACAGATTTGAGGAGGCTTCATGTGCTTTAGGCAGAAATGATCCGCAGCGATGTTAGAACGTTTGTTGGTCGCCCCACCTTATGCATATTGCCTTCGACATAGCGCATTGGCATGAACCTCGGCTCGAAAGTTAGAGTAAGAGGGCACCGTGGTAGTGAAAAGGAGCATTCTGGGCTCTACGTCATAGTTCTCTGGTCATTTATGGAACCTATTCAATACAAAATGTCACTGAACCACCGACATCCGGTCGGGTTCTATGTTCCAGGATGCGATGAGTATTGAAAGATGAAAGTAATCCAATATAAGCTTTGAGGAGACTTCGTTGTTTTCGGAACGTACAGAACGGCGACGATGCTGGAGTGTATCTTGCTGCGTATTACCTTCGACATAGTCGACTCTATGCCATAAACCTCTAGTCCTTCTTGGGGCCTTTTTTATACAAAATGTGACTGAACCGCCGACCTCCGGGGATGAGGGAATTTACTGTCCAAGTTGGATTTGTGTTCCTTAAGCAAATTAAAAAAAAAAAAAACTCTAGTAAGCCCCACACTTTCCACTACTGGGTTGTGTTGTATCCATAAGATACTCCGTAAATGCTCGTCGTTTGGTCTGCTCTTGACGCAGTTGTACTGGTATATAACATTCGTGTAGTATCTTTGAGCAACCAGCTGCTGGTCTCTACTCAAGTCCATGTGTCTGTGAATGTATGTACATATGTATGGGTTTGGGGGCTGCGCGCGTGTATTTCTTTTAACTTCAATTTCAACTATTGGCCTCTGTAGTTCACTTTCAGCTACTGCCTGCAGTCCATGGATGTTTAGTCGTTTTCTGCTGCTCAATGTTGCCGGTTGTGTTTTGGCGCTTCGAAACGCTAGCAAAAGTGGTTAAGGTGAACGCGTGTGAAGTGTGCGTTTTTTCTGACTTAAAATAAAAACAAAAACGAGCAATAACTTCTAGTGTTCGAATTGGTTAAAGAATTTATCATAAATAAAATTTTGTTGAATTGTGGTAGGCGCATTGTTATATATCGGCGTTGTTGTACGTACATTCATATTTGGTTATCGCATTTTCATGCCGGCAAAGTGATTGCGCGTGGTGGTGTTAAAATTTTTTGTGATTTGTTTGGCGAGCGGCGTTTCGATCGCGTTGTTTGATTGCCGCTGAGTGCTTGAAAGCGGCAGCGCGCGCGTTGATTTTTGTATACGCGCGGCAATGAATACAAAATTAAAACAGAGCATTTTGCTCAAAAAAAAAACGTAGCGCAAAAGGCATGGTATTAAAAATATATATTTCTTATGAATGTGAGTGTGGGTGTTGTGCACCTTACGCGTTGGCTGCATCATCATCACGCTGTGTGTTTGATTCGGTTGTTGTGGCCGCAAACGGCGCGGCGTTTTTGTTTGCTTTCGTTTTTTTTTTTGGTATCATGCATGACGTTCTCCTTTTTTGTTTTTATGGCGCTTTCTTGTTGTGTTAGTTTTTTTTTTTTTACATTGCGAGCGCTTTTTTTTGTGTGGCGCGCAGGCGACCAGAAGATTGCCAGCCGGCATGACGGCCGCGGTGGGCATAGTGGTGGGCAGAATTAACTAACTAATGCTATTGGGTAACTACTCTGCTGGAGCTCGCGCTCACCCTTTATTCTCTTGAAATGGCACAGTGCAACTATCTTTAACTGGTAGATGCCATATTGGGGATAAAAAAGTGCCAAATAGAAAGAAAAAGAGGAACAAATAAGGGCCCATAATTATTATTAAAAAGAAGATTATATTCTTCTTTTTCCTTTGGCAATAAAATAAGAATGTCGCTTCCAAAAAAAGTAGACAATTTTAGTTGGCGAAAAAGTAGGTAGCATACGCAAATTTTTTTACAAAAATGTATTGAAATATTGCTATTTTTCAAAAGTGAAATTTAAAAATTTGGTGCCATTTGCAGTGAAATACATCCAAAAATGGCACCGCTTGAGTTAAATTGACCGGCCAGATAGCAGTTGTTACCCAGTGTAATGCATTTTTTTGATTTGCGCCAGTTGAAAAATTGTGTGCGTCCGCTCGAGTTGATTTCAAAGTCATTGCCGCTTGAGTCAGCTAGCTATCAGCGCGCTCGCTAGTCATGATTACCGCTGCCGTCAGCTGCGCTATTTATATAGTTGATCGATTTGAAATTTATCAGGTCACTATCACCAGCGCATATCACCGAGGTGTCTTAACTTCAATTAACAACCACACACGGTGGGCAGGAAGCAAAGATAGGTTGCATAAAAATGTCGACAAAAACTGAAAGCAGGGTTGTATTTGTTGATATTTTTAGGTTAAGAATCCCTTTGAATTGAAATCCTAGCTGCTCCTGTTTTAAAGATATCCACATTTTACATAGTTATGATAGGACCGACTTTTGCGAAAGAGAAAAACATCCTTGTGAATTAAATATTCAACAATGTATGTGTGAGTAAATGTGTGTATATATATTATGTGAAAATATAAGTTTATGTAAGTTTTTAGCCGGTTTCAATCGTTTCCAAGGCGCACCACGTAGAGGCAACTTACTTTGCACCTCTTTGTTCTTTTTTTGGTTTTATTTTTTTATATTTTTTTCTTGCTTTATTTTTTTATATTTGTTTTTTGTTTCCTTTTATTTTTTTTGGTGGCTTACCATATAATATAGTCACACATTTTAGTATTTAAATATTTTATTATTTAGTTAAGTTTTTATATATGCTGGAATGAAAATGTCATTACAGTTTTCTTCAGGCGACTCACAAA